GAATGACGACACGGTGGAGCGAGCGATCTATAATGACAAGCTTAATTGGATTTGTATGGCATGCTGAATTCTGAATCACTGGCTCTGTCTAATATGTTTTTCTTCCCTATTAACCTCTCTCCACTCTTCACTGCATGGTCACAGGGTCAGTTCTGTGCATGGCTCCTGCTAGCAGCATTGGTAGGTTCCTCCTCTTCCTGTCTGTCTGTCTGTCTGTCTGTCTGTCTGTCTGTCTGTCTGTCTGTCTGTCTGTCTTCCCCACCTCACGTAGAGATCTAGTCGCTCTTACAGGTGATTTGAAGCTCGAGAGACACTCGCGTCACACAAAATACCAAACTAGCACCTGTTGATGGAATCTGATCAGTTACACCATCACGCATCTGTTTTCTGCTTTATTCTGCTTCTGGTCACCTGCAAGAGCACTCTGTTTGTTTGAAATATTCACATTTCTCTTTCTGGGGTTTTAGAATTTAAAGTTTTTTAAGTGCATATTTAATATACTTATTATTATTATTATTATAGTAGTTCTGTATATTTTATCTATTCACAGATTTCAGTTTATTTGGATTTTATTTCTAATTACAGTTATTATTAATATTATTATTGTTATTATTTATAGCAAGTCTATATATTTTACTTAATTACTTATTTTTTTATTATTATTATTATTGGAATTCCATATATTTTATATATTCGTATTCAATTTGTTTTAAATTATTTCAAATTCCATTTTTTTAAACCGTGGCTATCATTATTATAATTATAGCAATTCTATGCATTTTACATATTTATATTATTCAGTGTATTGTAAGTTATTTTTCGAATTCAGTTTTTAACTATTATATAAACTCTCTTTATATATTTGTATTATTTTACATTTTTACAGTGGTATTTTAAAGTTTACATTTTATATATTTATATATATATATAATTCGTAAATTCATATAGATTTAAAAACAGTATTATTATTACTATGATATTGTTTTAAAGTGTAATTCTTTATATTTTTATGTATTTTACATATATCATTCATCATTTTGGTGGATTTTATTATTATTGTTTAAATATATTTGACATTTTTACTGTGGTCTTTTAAAGTTTACATTTGATATGTAATTCATATATATTATTACGTTTACATTTTTTTACAGTGACCATTATGATTATAATTATTATTATTATCCGTTAATTGTTGGAAA